AAAACCTGGTTGTTCTGACAGGCCTGGGGCTAAAGAGCTGTTGCCCCCCCCCTCGAATGGTATGGTTGTTGTGTGCTTTTAAATTATGCACTGTTATGTTTTGTTTATTTTTTGTCTGTACCCCCTTCCCTGATTTGAATTGTGAGCCGCCCTGAGTCCTCTTCGGGGAAAAAGGGCGGCATACAAATATAATCAATCAATCAATCAATTTACCGTTTCTGGTGTTCTAGCCAAGCTAGTTCAGCCTTAGTCTTCTCTTTAAGTGCTTTTTCACGCAATCGGAGCAGAGAAGACTGGTGAGCAGCTCTCATTTCTTCTTCCCTCATGTACTGACGTACCATTTCCATTGTAAATTTAGAAAAGCTGTCTTGCCCTCCTGAAAACGGCAGGTTTAGTTCCTGATAAAAAATAAAAAAATAAAAAAATTAGTTTCCCCAGAATTCACAATCTCTTTAACTGGGGGCAAACTGTTGATGTTCCAAACTGTTGATGTTCCAAACTGTTGATGTTCCAAACTGTTGATGTACTTTTACACTAATCATTATCAGATTTCCACTGCTTTTATAAAGGAATACCGTTTTCTACAGTGCAAAATACATGACTATTTTATGTGTAAGCTATGTTCATTTACTCACTTAATAAATTTATTTGTGAGAATATGAAAATGAGTAATTTGAGACAAGCAGCAACAGAATAACAGACAACAAGAGCATTAACCAAGTTGCAGTTGAGGTGGAAGAAGACAGGGAAACATGATTTTCTAGGTGCAGCATCTATTATCTTTCCCAGTGCACCTGGGAAGAATCCCACTATTAACTCATATGTTTTGCATATTTACAATATTATCTGACACAGGCTTTCTAGGAAGACCACAAGCAGAAGCTGGCCTCCTGTAATTCTATCTTTATAAAATGTCTTATTAAAATTATTAATTCAGCAAATGATACTTGGCAAAACGATTCATCTAAATTAGGTTTTAATACAGCTATTACCACTGGCAGTGGTAAACTTCCAGAAATCTCTATAAATCCACCTCACCCATAGATACTTATTTTTTAAAACATCTTCATGAATTATGCCTATTATTCATTGAATTATTCCCTCTGCATTCAAGGAGATCATTCTTTTCATTCTCCATGAAAAAGAATACGGGAAGAAAACCACAATTTTGTGCAAAATGTTGAATCTTTAGCAGACAACATAATGATGAACCTTTGCCGGTAGATTAGACCCAGCAGTGAGATTAGTGCAAAGAATGTCAGATAATGTCATCTTCCGTGAGCAACTAGGAGACAGAGCTATCTATTTATTTCTATTGATTGTTTCACTTTTTATGACAAATGTTCTTCTAAGAGCGGTTACACCTATATTCTATAATTTGTAACAAATTTAAAACCGCTAAAACAACTAAAACATATGCATCAACAAAATTCCTACACAATCAATTGGCAATTGGAAAACAGGCCTATACATTTTTTTAAGATTCCGAAAAATGAACAGCTGCAGCCTATTGAGATCTTGCCTTAATAGGTGACAGGGTATGCTTTCCAGGAGAAGCTTCCTCATCAGAATAAACTTGGGGATTTTGTTTCTTCAGATTGATCCGGCGGTGGCTCTCAGAAGGCAACAAGGACCGGAATGATTGTTCTTCAATCTCATCTTCGGTCATAGACTCATCAAACTTTAGGGAATATTCTGTGGCAATAGAAGTGGAATCTGAAAAGATACGATACAAGAAGAAATTCGTTATAGAACAAACATGTTACAAATAAGATTATGTTGCAAAAATCGAAGGCGTAAATACTGACTGAATGGACAGAAATATAGATGTGCCTAACTATCAAAATTCCTGACCTTACTGGAATCTACTGAAAACTAAGTACAGCAATTGTAATATACATCCTTCCAAACCCAACCTCATTTTCAAGAATCCTATTTTTGGGAAATACCAGAGAAAGCAACCAAAAGAATTATTTGTTTCACAGCATTCATACATGTATGCATGCTTGAGATTAAATTTATTTTTTTTCTTTAAAATGATGACGAGCAAAAGAAGAGGAGGAACAGTTATCCAGCCAATAGTTCTAAGAATAAGTATAATCTTTATTGTCATTGTACTTAAATACAACGAAATTGGTTTTAAAGAGGATGAAAGCAACAGCAAGCCAAGACAACGTGGCAGTGATGCTGTCAGACTGCAAATTCTGCAGAGTCCAACAGATGGTTATTAAAAAACAAACATATAAAGAAATCAGGATGGTGAGAATGGGTAGGGAATTATTTTTATATGATTACCATGTAACCCATCAGCAAAACCATTGACACCGCAGTGGAAAGAACACAGTTATGAAGCAAAAATTGACCGAGCATTGCTTTGGTTAAATATTGATCTGAAAACGAACCTCTCTCATCATGAATGGATGGGATACTGTTATTCTGCAGTGAATCGTTGATTGCCATGGGAGCTTCCTCCTCAATGGAACTGTTTGGTTTTTCACGATGAGAAGATTTCTTGGTTTCCTTAGAAGATGGACTTTCCTGCCGACTGCTGCTACTGCTGCATTATAAAAAAGGCATACGGGAGTCCTGAATTAATACTGATGTAATGCACAGAATGAATTTGCACAGCTTCATGTTGTGTGCCAGTTGAACCCTTTCCTGGATCCAGGGCCACTGTTCAAAGTCCCTCATGTGCTAGTCACCTCCCCTTTGGGCTTCTGCCATGTGATCTACATGGGGCTGTCCTTGAAAAGTATCTGGAAACTTCAACTGATGGAGAATGCAGCAGAATGAGCAGTTGTGTGCGTGCCCCTAGAGTGGAATACATTACATCTGTGCTCCTCAAGCTGCACTGGTTGCCAGTTCGCTTCTGGCTCCAATTCAAAGTACAAGTTTTTACCTTTAAAGCCTTTCATGGTTATCTGAGGGCACCTCTTCACAATTACATCTTCCCATCCAATAAGGTCTGGCAGAGAAGGCATGCTATGACCCCAACTGCTACGGATTTATATTTGGTGGGTCCCAGGAAAAAGATCCTCTCTACTGTGGTACACACCTTGTGGAATCTATTCCCCCTTGGAAATGACATTAGCATTATCATTTTCAACATTTTGCAAGTCTATCATTATGTTATCAGGCCTGCAGGTTCCAGCAGACCGGGGTGATTTTGTGACAGCTCCCTTACTGTGGTTAATAACATCCTCACCTCACCTCTTTGTATTTTAGTATTATTTAATGCAGTGCTATATACTGTCCCAAATCACTTTGTTGTGAGATTGGCAGCTATACAAATATGATAAAATATAAAATAATCAATTCAAAAATATGCACTTGCATTGTGTACTCTACACACTTTTCCCCTAGGAATTCATTTTCACATCACAAAGTATAAACTTAAAATTACATCTTTTAAAAATCTCCAGTTCCAATGTTTTTACAAGAATAGGAATCAAATTCTTCGATAACCTAGTGATGGCAAATGATTTTAGTCCTGGAGAGCTAACTATAATGGCTAATACAGCTGATGGAATATGTTCACACTGGTGGCTCAAACTATTTTTGGAAACAAAATTCCTCAAGCACATAGTTGATTTTGCAAAATTTCCATTTGCTCCTGATACTTCATGCCTGAAAAGTCAGAATTAGGAGTCTCTCTACTTTTAGGGCTTGCAAGTGTATTAGGAATTTTTTTAAAATTTCAATGTCTGCTATTAAGGGAGCCAATTTGCAAAATAGCTCCTGTAAGGGGTGCAAGCAGCAAAAATAACCATCTCAAGAAGTGAAAACTGATATTATTCTGATGTAGTTCTACTAGTCTCAAATTGTTCTAACTGGATTCTATTGACACTTGTTTTGAGTTAAAATGGATCTGTTTGAATTTAGAACAATTTGAGACAAGCTTAGACAAGTTGTAATGTTTCCTGCAAAATCAAAAAACTGTTCCATTCAAATCCGGAAATCGGGTACTTCAAGTCCAAAATATTTCATATTCAAAAATTTCTGCATACTGTTTTTCAGAAACTGATTTCCCCAATTAGTTAATATTTCTATTTACATATTATTATTATTTTTAAACTCTGTTTACTGCCTCAAATCTTTTGATTTGACAGACCCATAAATCTAATGGTTAAGGTTATTATTTATAAACATAGCAATTGCTTTAAGAATACTTTGAGTGAGTTTTGAATTCATAAAAAGATATATAGATTAGTGTACATACTATCTGAGAGAAAGAAAACCTTAACTTAGCCATCATTTCTTGCATTAAGTAAACCAAAATATTCTACTTGGTTGAATTTATACTTGATATATGATGATTATAAATCTTGGTTCTCACCTCTGATCATGTGTCTTTGATCTTGATGATTCGGAATAGCTATCAAATGTATTCAAATAATTATGTTTTGAGTCATTTATCTCCTCTCTATCTGATGGCGTGGCGACTGAATCTGCTTTTCTATTAAAGAAAAGAGGAAAATTTGAATTATTTAAAAAATCACAGCAGTGTTTGCAATTGTCTGACAAATAACTGAATACAAATACAATGTATTAAAGTTAAATAAATGGTAATTTCCAATGCAGTATATTTGTATTGTTCCTCTTTCTATCAAGTATAGGAGAACAGAGGAGGATTCCTAAACTAGCAAAGCTCTAAACACATTGTTCTGTGCTACTTCTTTTTCACAACAAATGAGGTGCTTGAAAAGAGAAGGAAGTTTCATGCCAGAAAGCTTGTGAAATGGATCTAAATTGGTTGGAAAAACTAAAAGGCTTTTCTTTTCATAACCAGCATTTTTTGGGGGGAGGGGGAAGAGAGGCAAGTATACCCCTATAAATCAAACTGCTTTGATACCATGTACATATTGACAAAGTTTCATCTGTAGTTATCCCTTCTCTACACACTTGTGGCAAATTTATGAACAAAAATTACCTAGTGAAGTGGCAACTTTCTATGATCAAGGTCTTCCTACAGGCCTATAAGGTCAATGGAATTATCAAGGAAATCTATTATTTACAGATGCTTTGATGAGCTTTCCTTATTGAAGTACCTTCATTAAAACTATTACAGCCCCAAATTAAATTCCCATATAAAATACCTGTTCCTATTGTAAAGCTTTAATTGCTTTGTGAATGTGGAACTGTGCTTCCGTTCTTGGTCAAATAATGTAGTAACTGGAGCTGCAGTAGTACCAACTTCATCAGGGATCTGGAAATGTGGAAGTTCTGTCATCTAATTAAAAAACAGAGCAAAATATAGATTTTAAATGTATCAATGAACTTCTTATGGCCTAAGGTGTAAAGATCCACAGAAAACAACTCACTTCACGTATCTGACGAGCAGTATCTGCAGTCAACAAGGCTGTCTCCAGCTGTTGAGTTGCAATCTTAGATGTGGTCTCCTGTAGAGTCTCAGCTGCCTCCTGATGTGATTGTGCCAACAGATGTAATGATTCGGCATGGGCCTATACATGGACACACAAGTTTGCTTTGAAATCTACTTACTTTCACTAAAAGTGTAGCTGTGCTTTGATCTTAACCTGAACATGAAAAAATTTTCTCTTTACCTTAGGGGAATGTTACCTTCATAACAAAATTTATTTCATGTTACTGATAGGAAATGTAATTTTAAATCACAGTTTTATAAATGAATATGAATTCTCACATGGAAAGGAGGTGCTCTTTAAGTAAATAAGTACAATAGCAGAGTTGGAAGGGACCTTGGAGGTCTTCTAGTCCAACCTCCTGCCTAGGCAGGAAACCTTATACCATTTCAGACAAATGGCTATCCAACATCTTCTTAAAGATTTCCAGTGTTGGGGCATTCACAACTTCTGGAGACAAGTTGTTCCACTGATTAATTGTTCTAACTGTCAGGAAATTTCCCTTCAGTTCTAAGTTGCTTCTCTCCTTGATTAGTTTCTACCCATTGCTTCTTGTTCTACACTCAGGTGCCTTGGAGAATAGTTTGATTCCCTCTTCTTTGTGGCAACCCCTGAGAAGTATGTTGCTTCTAAGCTGGTAAGTGGTTCAAAAACAAGTAAAAATCATCAAGCTGCAACCCTGGTTCTTGAACAAGAGAAGTTATAATAATTTAGAGGCAAAATATACCACTCTGTGAAGAAATGCTTTTGCTAATCACTAATGCCTCGCATCACTAACACAATGTTCCAATATATCAATATACTGCCTATTATTTGGAACTACCATCCATTGCCATTGCCAGCCATAGAAAAGGATCCTATTTTTGTTTTCCCCCCAAGCTGTTTAAAATGCTACATTACCTGAGCTGATTTTTGTTTTTCTTCTTCCAGAGTCCTTTGATTTTCCAACATCTCTTGCTCTGCCTTAAGCTTTAGAAGAGCCAAGTCCCTCTCATGCCTCTGCTGCTGGGACTACAGGTGAAAATTTACTTTGTATTTATTCACTTACTTTCTTCCTTTTTATAGAACTATGCAAAAGGGTTATACAATTTCTCATCATTTAAAAACAATAATGGCTCCTTAACTTAATTCTAAATGGTTTTAATTTAGTAACTGTAATATATCAGATATTTAATTATAATATAATTCTAAAATATAATGAAATAATTACAAAATAATTTGCTTTAATATTTCAGCATCTGCTCCTACCTGAATACACTTTAGTACCAATTTCATAGTGAATAAACTACGTAATTAATTGGATTTATATAGCTGCCCATCTCACAGTAGTAACTCTGGATGGTTGTAAACTTCAAAATACAATTTAAAATACAAAAACTGCAGTATACAACCCCTGGTCCTTAAGGATAAAACAGAAAATATAATCAATATATATATATATTTTAACTAGAATGCCAGGTATGTTTGAAAATTGTAGCTACAATCAATTTTTTAGGCAAATTAGATTTCAAAAATACACAACTACTGGAATAAAGATCCCAAAATTTTTGTTGCTTAAGAGAGTACCAATGCTCCCTTGGGTACTGCTGAAATAAAATTCTCCCAGCCCTACTGTAAGTCTTCTAATCCTCTGCAGAGATACTTTACAGTGAGTCCCAAAACCAAGTTAAAGCAAAAAATAACAACTTTTAGTTATTTTTACAGTTATTAATAGAAAAAAATTTTTTTACATGAAGTGAAAGGTTTGATGTTTCAAAGAGATGAAAAAAATGAAATTACATACTAAGTATTTTAAGGGGTTTCAGATTCATTAATCTTACATTTAATATTATAGCCAGAGAAACAGTTTCCTGCTGTGCAAGTGTTATCCCTCGCACACGTTCTATATCAGAGATTTGGTGTACCGACTCTTCAATAGCGCTAAGGTAGTTAAGTTCTACAGACATACGGTGATGGAGACCAGCAGGTGAGAAGCGCATGGAGCCTGTAAAATCAATACACAACTTAGTAAACCACGACATGTATAGGCTCAAAGGACCCTATTATCAAATATAGCATATTCTATACATTTTTCCATTCTTTTGCCAGCTCACCGTTCGGAATATTGTCTCCAGTCCTGTTGTTTCCAATACTTAAGTCAGAGAAGGCAGGATTTAGCTTGGATGCAGAAGTTACGTTTCTGGAAGATTTTAAAGATCTATGTTTTTCTGCTGTATTTCCTTCAGGATCCATTTTCTTCTGTATGTTTGGAGGCTGAGGAGAGCTTATTGCAATTGATGGTCTAATTTTATCTGGGAGACTAAGCAAAGGAAAAGTATTTAGAAAAAGTATTTACCCTTAAAACATAAAGCAGCAGTTTAAAATTATAGCTTAAAAATAGTTTCTATTTAAAGAACTAGGGATAATAAAAATTACAAACTAAATTTGTATCTTTTCATCAGTAGGATATCATACACTGGGACAGAATGAGAAAACATATTTCAAATACATTTGGATAAATTGTTTCCACCTCTACAACCAATATGTTTTATATTAAAAAGAATAAAAACTTTGACAATACATTAGTTGAATTTCCAGAGAATTGGATAGCTTACATGAAAGGGCTAAATACACCTCTTTTCATAGTATTTGACTTTAAAGAACATACCTAAAATAAACTACAAACATCAATATGTGTACAATTAATATACATTTATTGGAATAGGGGTTTATTATGGCTCACTGTTGAGTAAATATAGACTCTTAAATCTAAATTTGTTTCTGACCCAACCAGAACAATTTTAGAAAATGAGTTTTGCTCTTAGCATATTATTCATATAAATAAAAAAGGGAGGAGAAATAGTTATGATTTGATATGGACAATTGTCTTCTCTGTCATATCTCTCAAGAAAACTTAGGATCAGGGTTAATCTTCAGTAATTATTCTAAAGAAATCAAACTAAGTCAAAATTCAGAATTCTGGGATATTCGAAATAGCTTTTTCTTCAAAATTCAATTTGTCATATTTGTTGTGTTTCTATAAGCTATTAAAAATGAATCATTTTCATAAAGTCTTTGATGTATGAGCTGACATTATCTTTTAAGCATTGGTTATATTAGATTTCTTTTATTATATTATTTTATAATTTCTACAGGGGATGTTTTATCATTTGTAATTGATTGATGTTGCAAATTGCAAAAATATTTTTAATTACAAATGGGTAAATCCTGATCAATCAACAAGTAAATGCAGAATTCTATACTCAGAGCACGGCCCCTTAATCCACTCACTGCTTTCACAAATATCAGTGGAAGCTGTATTAAATTTATGAGACCATTTTGAAAACTGACATAAGGAAAGGAAATATAGATTATGTCTTATGTTGCAAGAACACTGGTTCCTACTTTATATAAATATACCAATGTAACAGTAATATGCTGTTGTACTACTACAATATGCTGTTGTACTACAATACTACTACAATTATAAATTACCATATTTTTTGGACTATAAGTGCACCAGTGTATAATACCCACCAAGATTTCGAAGAGGTAAGGTTTTTGTCCTCCCCGCCCCTCAAGAGCACTCTGCAGACTTCAGTAAGGCTGGGGCAAGGCAAAAATGCCCCTTTTTTTTTGCAAAAATGGGGGGGGGGGGCTTTGGGAGGCTAAAAATGGCTGTATTCAGTGTATAAAACGCACTAACATTTCCAGAAGGTGAGAAGGTGTGTCTTATACTCCAAAAAATACGGTATGCCATACAGTTTAAAATCAGACTTTGGTAATAGTATTTTACCTCATTAATGAGTGACCAGATAGTTCCTCTAAAGTACCGTCAGAATCTGCGTTCACTTCTTGTTCTCTGTTAGACACTGTATTATTAGATAGTAAGTGTTTTGCTTGTTCCAAATCATAGTCTGATCCTATAGATGCTTTGCTTTTTTCCCAGAGAGAGGCATTTCGAAATCCATTTGATTCTGTCTCTGTAATGTATTTTTCTTTAAAAAAATGTTTAAAAATGAATACAAAAAATAAGAATTCCACCACCAACTGATAAACACATTGAAGGTTTTTAAATTTAAAAATCATGACATTTTTAAGCCAGAACTAAAAGGTGTTAAAGAAGAGATGGATAAAAGCCTCCTAATAGCATGGGAGATAAATTTTGGCTATGAGATTGAAATGAGTAAATGGTGGGATCTATGGAGTAAGACTATTAAACTCACAATATCGACAACGTTTAAAGAAAATATATACAAGATGGTTAATAGATGGCACTTTCCCCCAACGAGGTTAGCCAAAATGTTTCCTGGGTTATCCCCACTGTGTTGAAAATGTGGAAGAAGGGATGGCACATTCTACCATGTCTGGTGGTCCTGTGTTGAGGCCACGAAATACTGGAGAAGGATTCAAAACTGGCTAAAAGAGGTTCCCGGGGCAAATATGGAATGGAAACCCGAGACTTTTTTACTAAGCATAAAACCAGAAAACATGAAGTAAATCTATATGGCATTTGAGCCTACATATAATTGTGGCCGCAAGAATAACCTATGCGCAATTTTGGAAATCTACTACTATACCATCGGAAGATGCCGTAATTAAAAAGATTTATGAGTGTGCAGAAATGGACAGAATGACGGGTTGGCTGAGGGACAAAGGAGAAATGGAACCTTATCTTAGCTGGAACCTATGGTATATGTAGGCGACAAGGCAAGCAGCAGGGACTTAAAACGGGGAAAGTTAAATAGCAGTTGTTAACAATGGGAACTAAAAGAGAATGTGGGTATCGTATTAGATCCCTGAATTTTGTAACGAGAAGATGCTGGTTAGAGACTAAATAATGAGGAAGAAAAGAATGTTGGGCTGTGAATGACTTTCACCGGGGGTGGTGGGGGTGGTGTTGTATGTGTATGTCTTATTAAAAAAAATGTGTAACCAATAAAGATTATTTTAAAAAAATAAGAATTGCACCACCAACTGATAAACACAGTGAATGTTTTTGAATTTAAAAATCATGAGATTTTAAAGCCAGAACTAGAGAGGTGCAGTACATGCCACTCTCTCATTAAATCCCATTCATAAAACCTCTTGAACTAATCATTCTCCATCTATCCTGTTTTATTCAGTGCAAGAATAAAAATTAAGCAGAGAGAGGAAGAGGAGATTAGATTCTAATAATTGCTAAGGGAGAACAGCAATATTTGGCAAGAAAGAGAAAGTCTGAAAGATACGTCACTGTCTACATTTACAGGTAGTCCTTGACTTATGAACACAATTGAGACTGGAATTTTAGTTGCTAAGAAATGTAGTCGTAAAGCAAGCCACTGTTGAGACCACATTGTTTAGTAGCCCCAATCGCAGCAATACCTGTGGCTATCAATAAGCAAATTTTACCAGTCATTAGCCAAAGACCCACCTTAATCCAAGCTATTCCAAGCTTGATTCCTTCCAATCCTGAGCCTCAATAAGATAAGCGATTCTCCCCCACCTACCTTCCCTAATCTCTGCCGTTTTGGCCCCACTGCACCCTGCCTTGTGGAGTGCCAAACAGCCCCAGGACTATGTATCTCTGGGGCTTCTTGCCATGCCCTGGGAAGCTGCAACTGTAACAGACCCAGTGTCAGACCTGCAATTATATTCCTTTTAGAATTTTGGCCTGCCACACTTTCTCTTATTTCATTATGCTGTTTCTTTAGTATAGTTGATGGGAGGGGGGAATAGACAGGAGTAGGATTGTGGAATGTATTGTTTTCATTCTTTCCTAGAAGACCAAGGTCATCTCCGCACTTTTACACCTGACCGGAAGCAGCTGGGTGGAGACGCCAGCGTGGAAGAAGAAGATTGGACCATGTGAGGGATTGTGGGTGTGGGGACAAGATCATGAACTTTTAACTGGGTGGAATTCTGATGTCATTTCCAGAATTGGGATTAACACAGATGTGTTAAGATGTCTGCTTTATTAAACTGGAACTTTAAGGATCGTTTTGCCTTGGACTCTGATTTAATTCTACATGATACTTGGAGCGCTGACACCCAGTTGCTCTTGCCACCCTGCATTCTGAGACCCCTGCTGCCTTGTGCTCCGCTGCTATTTTCTTACTCTTGCTGCTGGTGAAGTGTGCCCAGCTTAGCTGTTGCACCATATGGGGCTGATTTGTGCAATGGGGGGAAAAAGCACAAAGCAACTTGAAGGAGCTAGAGCATGCCAAAATATCCTTTTGGCACCATGCTCCTAGGCCATATGGATTGGCTTCTTGCTTTTTTTCTTTTCTTTTGGGAACCACAAAGCGATTCCCCCATAAGGTGCAGGAAGATGGCACAAAGGAATGCTTTGACACACTCTGCCTCAGGGAGGGGATGTTCTGTGCTTTCCCTCCTCATGTGGCCCGCAAACCAGACCAGGCATGTTGCATTAGAAGCAGAAGCAAGATGGCAGAAAAGGTCAGTTGGGGCTGTGAAGTACAAGGTAGCAGGGGGCCAAAAAAGCACAGGTGGGGGAGATAGGTGAGGGAGGGGGGGAATTGCAGCACCCTTGCAGTTGTGAGTAAAGATGAGTTGTCAAATGCCTGCATTTTGGTCATGTGGCTGCTACAACAGCCATACCTTTGGCCATGCATCATATGACTCTTTGTTCAGTCCCATAAAGATTGCTGAACAAATTTGTCCTATGTTGAGGCCTACCTGTATTCGTACTGGATTATGGTTCAAGTCATGATAAAACTCTTCATACAGCAACGAACAAAAAAGTGAAATGTAACAATGCATTTTATCAAATTCTTGATATTATACAATGGTACTAACATTAGAAACAAACAATAAGTAACTGAATAATGTTCCTGTTGCTTATGATTTAAATAATGGCCATCACCTCTCAATTTTATTCAAACTGTGAAGTTGGATATTTGGAATGAAGCAGGATTCTTAACCAAATACTGAAATTACCTTATTAAGGGTAATTTAAGGGTCTCTTAATATTTTACTTAAGATTAATCTTTATAATTGGTACTGGCCTGAAAGTCTTTTTGATGTATATTGTATATTGATGTATATTGTGATGAACTGGTGAACTGGGCAGCAAACTTATCTTTGTAATAAACAAGCAGCAGAAAAGCTCTTACCTTTTTTTCTTCCTCTTCTCTTAGAAGATGCAGATCCACGAGAAGAACCTGAAGATGATGGTCCTGAGGAATGATGGGTTAATTCCATAGTTTGGTGTTTATAAGGCAATTTTTTACTGGCAAGCTCTCCTTTCAGGCTGGGGCTACATGTGGCGCTGCCATTACAAGCATGAATTACACATCGTCAATATTTTTTATCTTTACCTATCATGTCACAGTGAAATCCATCTAGTTTTGGTGAATAAACATAATTATGGCTAATTGATTCCTTTATACAGGGATTTTCAAGCTCTTTGATACTGTAACCCCCTAAAATAGTAAGTTATTTATGTAACTCCCACCATGAATAAAACTAATGCTTTAATTGGGGTTAGAGTTTAATAAGAAATAAATGTACCAGTTATTTTCATCTGTTAACTTTAACTTATATTCAATTGAACTATTATACAATTCTATATACTGTATAACCACATATTATTCAATAAAATCAATTTTCACCTCTTATTTTATAGCTTCACCCATCTGAAATATATATATACCTGTGCTCAGGTGTAGACTTTTTGTCCACTGATGTACCACTACTTTGTGATGAGATGAAATCATCTTCATAGGAAGCAATACTACCTGGAGGGCTCACGGCAGGAAGTAAAGATTGATGTGTTGATGTTCCCTGTCCTGCACATTCTTCAGATCCCGGCAAAAGGAGGAAAGTGAAAATGAAATACAATGAATATTTCAGAAGAATTTACATTTCAACAAAAGTTTAACACAAGAGTATGCAAATAGGTAAAATGATCATGACCCCAAAGGCCACTCATACAAAACTCAGAAAATTCTAAATGGCTATACATAGAACGAAGAAAATCGTGACCCGTCAAAACCGCGTTCCACAAAAGCGCAGTCGACGAAAGCGCGTATGTGACGTCATCACAGCGCGACAAAAAAGATCGA